GCAGCTAGGTGTCCATGACACAGAACTCGCTACTATATTTGGGTCTCATCATGCTCGCTCTCAGTCTCATCAGAAAGACGAAGCCAGAATAGGACTGTGAAACCTTAAGTCCTGTAGAGTTTATTGCCACTGGCCAAGGATTACCTGTTTCTGTGAATACATACAGGCAACCCTGGCCATTTGCGGGGGATATGTTCCTGTGATCCCCTTGAATGAACGCAGTGCCCCCAGCGGCTGGGGGTGCGGCACAACTCCAGCAGCAATGGCAGGAGCACAGTGGCAACAGTGGGAGTCCAACAGTGGCAGTGGGAGCCTGGCGGCAGCAAGCACAGAGCTCCCAAGGAGCTCCGTTAAGTGTTTAAAGTGCATTTAAAATGCAGGTTCGGCATTTGCGAATATTTGAAACTGCAAATGCTGAACCCGTGAATACCGAGGGTTTCCTGTAGAAGGATTTAGTCTGCAGTGCTACCAGCAGGGACCGGAGCCGGGTCTGCCGGGTGCTCCCCCCTCGTTGCTGCAGCAGTGGGCCAGCGTGGCCCCTTGGGCAGAGGGGTCACGCTGTAGAGGGGGGTTGTTCTCCCCCTCTAACTCTACTGCCCCTGGGTGTCTGCAGCTGGGTCTGCCCGCCCTGGCCACCATTGCTGCCAAGCAGTGGAATAAGCTACCTCTCCTGTCCCCTGTGCCAGATGCTGGAGGGAGGGGGAATAACCCTGTCCCTGCACGCACCAAAGGGCCCTGCCAGCTGGGGAGCTGGCTGGTGAGGGCTGGCTGGGGAGCGGGCTTCCCTGGCCAGCTCAGAGTCATTCTGTCAGCTAATTCAGTTTTTAACTGTATTTAAATAAGCCTTTATACATTTAATTTCTATTCATCTTTTGACAGTCACACTGCCAAAGACAGCCTGATCTTTGAACACTACAATATTTGATATGATGATATTTATAATGTTTCTGTTACAATTTTAGTATGGTTTAAGTGCCATGTTTGTCACACCCATAGCTTTGAAGTTGCTATAACACCTGTATGACACCATCACCCGTTCTAGAATTGGAAACATAAGTGTGACTACTTTTGGTAATACCTGGAAATTGAAAAATAAAATTAACCAGTTTTGATCACTTTTTGCACATTACACATCTTGGATGTTAAACCAGACTTTAAATATTCTTTAGTTTAACGATATTAAGACAGTGTCAGTAGCACTAGGACAATAAAGGTCTGGGCCCGAACAGTGGGGGTGGGCCAGAATTAAATTATTTGTATCAGCTGAGTTCTGGCCTTTCCAGTTCAGGGATGGTGGTAGTGATCTTGTGTTCTGAATAAACATATAAAGCAGTTTACCAAATGTAAATTTATACAGTGCCAACCATTTACAGCTGTGATTCACATCCATTGTGAGGTGCACCCCACACTTTGAGAAATGCTGATCTATATGCTGGGGACAGACATTACATGTAAACTGGTTTAAGTGATCAGAAACTGGTTTAAACCAATAACAGAACAGACATTCAGTGCACATAAACCAGTTTCAAAATGGCCAAAACTTGTTCGAGATAAACTTGGTTGAATGTAGTATCAGAATTAACTGATTTGGCTCAAACTGGTTTATGCAATGTCTGTCCCAGACCCCTTCCTGGTTTAAATTAAACCAGAGTTCCCCAGCATCCTGGCATGCTCTCTGGGCTGGGCTCCCTGCTCCAGCCCAGCAGGGCTGGCCCTGCCCCTCTGCTCCCCAGCCAGAGCAGGGACAGGCAGCAGCAGGGGTCTAGCCAAAGAGGAGTTTAACGGGGGGGGGAGTGGGATGTGGTGATCAACGATCAGCGACTGCCCGCAGAAGCTGTCGGCGGCAGTGAGCGGTGATTTGGCAACCACCCGCAGAAGCCAGCAGCAGTGGTGAGTGGCGATGGGCAACCACAGAAGTCGGTGGTGAGCAGTGATTGGCAACTGCCCGCAGAAGCCGGCAGCGGCTAGTCTCAGGGGTTGCATGTGCTCCCCTGTACCCTCACATGTCGCCTGTGGGTCAGAGTGTTTTTAACACTGTGGATTCCTATTTGAAATCTCTGGGTTTATTTTGTGAATCCCATTTGCACACCTAACTGCTAATAATGAGTGGCACTCTATGGCATCCTTGAAAGGATCTCAAGGCACCCCAGAGGGCTGCAGTTCTCTGGATGAGAATTTCTGGTCTATGTTCTGTATTACTACCATGTGAAGATCCTTGCACTGGCTTTGTGAAATAAGTTGTGATTCTAGGCATTAGCAGCTAGGTGTCCATGACACAGAACTCGCTACTATATTTGGGTCTCATCATGCTCGCTCTCAGTCTCATCAGAAAGACGAAGCCAGAATAGGACTGTGAAACCTTAAGTCCTGTAGAGTTTATTGCCACTGGCCAAGGATTACCTGTTTCTGTGAATACATACAGGCAACCCTGGCCATTTGCGGGGGATATGTTCCTGTGATCCCCTTGAATGAACGCAGTGCCCCCAGCGGCTGGGGGTGCGGCACAACTCCAGCAGCAATGGCAGGAGCACAGTGGCAACAGTGGGAGTCCAACAGTGGCAGTGGGAGCCTGGCGGCAGCAAGCACAGAGCTCCCAAGGAGCTCCGTTAAGTGTTTAAAGTGCATTTAAAATGCAGGTTCGGCATTTGCGAATATTTGAAACTGCAAATGCTGAACCCGTGAATACCGAGGGTTTCCTGTAGAAGGATTTAGTCTGCAGTGCTACCAGCAGGGACCGGAGCCGGGTCTGCCGGGTGCTCCCCCCTCGTTGCTGCAGCAGTGGGCCAGCGTGGCCCCTTGGGCAGAGGGGTCACGCTGTAGAGGGGGGTTGTTCTCCCCCTCTAACTCTACTGCCCCTGGGTGTCTGCAGCTGGGTCTGCCCGCCCTGGCCACCATTGCTGCCAAGCAGTGGAATAAGCTACCTCTCCTGTCCCCTGTGCCAGATGCTGGAGGGAGGGGGAATAACCCTGTCCCTGCACGCACCAAAGGGCCCTGCCAGCTGGGGAGCTGGCTGGTGAGGGCTGGCTGGGGAGCGGGCTTCCCTGGCCAGCTCAGAGGTGACAGCAGACCCTGAACCTGGCAGCCACCGCTCCCGCCCCC